TGTAGGCTTTGCCATATTGCCAGAGCAGGCTGTGTCACCAAAAACAAAAACGAAACACAAATTTGCCTCTGCCCTGGTCGAGATAGGAAGACCATTTAAGAGGCTCTTAATTCAGGCAAATGATAATGAGAATGTGACTCAGGCAGTGTCCACAGGGGACAGATTGAAGAGATCCTTTAACCCTCACTCGCAGAATCTGCTTTTCTCAGCAACACAGCCAGATAACAGCATTGCCACTAACCATTTATTTCAGCAGGAGGAAATGCTTCCTTGAAAGCGTAATTTAGGAATGTTTTCTTTTTAAACTTAACCAAAAATAAGAGGAAATGTCCCAGCCATGTAAGATGCCACTCTTGTCGTTTAGCCGGTATAATGGATATTATTATTATTAGCTGGACATTTCCCCACAATTAATAGCTTTCCCTCAAGAAAAAACAATAAGATTTTACAACCTCACATGGTGTGACGGAAAGCCTCTTAAAGAAGAGGAACAGAATCAGACACTCATGCAGGGAAGACAGCCTTGTGGTTTGCCCCAAGGGATTGGAAGAAGCGGAGGAGTCGCTGGTGGCAGGTTGAGGACACCTCAATAACAGACTGATGCTCCAATCACAGGCCTCTGCACAAAGCTGTGAGTAATCACCCACCAATGCCGGGATCCACAGGCTGTTGCAGAGTTATCTTTCACTGCTCTGTACGTGACACCCTGGGCCTGCAGTATTGCACACAGCAGCCACATTTGTCACTTGAGTTCCATTGATCCAGCAACTCTGATGGGTTGCGGCTGTCTTCAGTCTCTGAATCTCCCAAGGATTATGGTTTTGCACTTTTACTGACCTTTCACTTGATTTTGAGCAGTGGCCTTGTTTCCTTTTACTAGAATGTGAGCTCTTAGAGTCTGGGGATCATGATGCTCCTCAAAGTAGATGCAATTCTTTGTTAGATGAAGCAATCTTTCAGTATTTCAGTTAAGTGCATTTACTTGAGGAAGGTGAAGCTCCCCAACCTGATTTGTAATTCTATTAAATATTTACCTTGGTTATTGCCCCAGAAGATTATTTTAAGTCCTGTATAGCATAACTGCGGTGCAGGGCGGTTCTAGGATTAATCAGAGCCATGGAACTAAAAACACATCTAATCCTTTTACATTTCTTTAAGAACTAATCATTGTAATCAAGTGAAAAAAAATCCCTTTTTATCTTGCCTTTTAAAAATTTATGAACTGAAATAACTTTTACAAAAAAAGAATCTATTCTCCCCCAGTCTCCTCTGATCTTTGTGGAGAACCAGTGAAGCTGGAGGCAGAGGTACTGTTCAGAGCCACCTGGGCCCGAGGTCTGCATCCTCGCCCCAAATGAGGAATATACCCTTCCTGCCGACCAGTTTGGTTCACTCTTTGACATGCAGGTGTTCCAACTTTTCATAGTCCCTTAAATGTAAGCTCATACAGTCTTAAGTGTCAGCTCCTTAGAAAGATGCTGATGACATAAGTCTGAATATAAAAGTGTAATAGTGAGAGAGACTGGCTTCCTTATCAGCCCTGGAACATTCACTGACGGGGTGAAGGATGTCAGCAGCACTTGCACACCCCATAAGGAATCAAGAGCCGTGGAGAAAGCCGGCAAAGATACACTGCATCTGGTTCCACTTGGTGTAGCCACTTGGCATCTGTTTTGTTTCCTTGGCTAACTAAATGAGGAAGCAGTGAGTTGTATGTGTGCCTATATGTGGTCTCTTCCTGCTAATCTATAACCTGCCTATACTACTACACTTAAAAAAAAAAATTATGGGGTGCCTGGGTGGCTCAGTCGGTTAAGTGTCTGACTTTGACTCAGGTCGTAACTTCACGGTTCATGGGTTTGAGCCCTGCATCATGCTCTGTGCTGACAGCTCAGAGCCTGGAGCCTGCTTTGGATTCTGGGTCTCCCTCTCTCTTTTTGCCCCTCCCATTGCTGTCTCTCTCACACAAACAAATGTTTAAAAAATTAAAAAAAAAAAAAAAAAATATATATATATGTATTCTGCAATTATTACATGAAGTAACCTATAAATGTCTATTAGGACAAATTGATAGTGTTGCCCAAATCCTCCATTTCCTTATTGACTTTTTGTCCATTTGTTCTAGAATTACTGAGAGAGAGTTGTTAAAATTTCTAACTATGGTGGTGGTATCTGTTTCTCCTCTTGTTATTTTTGTCTTACATTTTGTAGCTTTTTTACTAAGAGTATACAGATTTGGAGTTGTTATATTTTTGTTGATGAATTGGCCTTTTAAGCATCAGGATATGACACTGCTTATCTGTAGTAATATTTCTTAAGGTCGACTTAATCTGATATTAGTATAACCACACCACTTTTCTTACTGTGTGTTTGTGTTTTTTCATCCTTATACTTTCAACCTGTGTTTTTTTTATTTAAAGTGCATACCTTGTAAGTAGTGTTTAGTTGGATCTTGCTTTTTAATCTAGACAATCTTTACCTTCAACTCTTTAGTCCACTTAATATTATTGATATAGCTACGTTTTATTTTTTATGTTTATTTTTGAGAGAGAGAGAGAGAGAGAGAGAGAGCGAGCAGCAGAGGGGCAAAGAAAGGAGGAGACACAGAATCCGAAGCAGGCTCCAGGCTCTGAGCTGTCAGCACAGAGCCTAATGTGCAGCAGCCACCCAGGAGCACTGGTATAGCTATGTCTAAGTGTTTCAATTGTCATTTGTTTTTTGTTTGACCTCATGTTTCCCATTCCTTCCGGCGTTAATCAACTATTTGTTAAATATTCCATTCTGGGGATGTCTGGGTGGCTAAGTCGGTTAAGTGTCCAACTTTGACTCAGGTCATGATCTCATGATTTGTGGGTTTGAGCCCCACATCAGGCTTTGCTGACAGCTCAGAGCCTGGAGCCTGCTTCGGATCTGTGTCTCCCTCTCTCTGCCCCTCTGCCGCTCTCACTCTGTCTCTCAAAAATGAATAAACGTTAAAAAAAAATTTTAAGGATGCCTGGGTGGCTTAGTTGGTTGGGCGTCCAACTTCAGCTCAGGTCATGATCTCATGGCTCATGAGTTCAAGCCCCGCATTGGGCTCTGTGCTGACAGCTCAGAGCCTGAAGCCTACTTTGGATTCTGCGTCTCCCTCTCTTTGCCCTTCCCCTGCTCATGCTCTGTCTCTCTCTCCTTAAAAAAATAAACATTTAAAAATTAAAAAAAAATTTTTTAAATACTCCATTCTGTCTCTTCTGTGATTTTTTAGCTTCTGTTTGTGTGAGAGAGAAACAGAAAGAGAGAGATTGCTCTAGGGAAGATTCAGGTTCACACTTAAACTAATAAATATTCTACCTGCAGTGAGCAACACAACTGTGTGTGGTCATTAGGCTTATTTCTTTCAAACTTCAGGAAAGTTGCTCCTTGGTTTATGGTATTCGAACAAAGTGCATTAAACTGAAAGTTACACGTTTCAGTTCAAATCCCAGCTCCACCACCTAAAACTTGTGTCATCTTGGCCAATGTGTATATATTTTGTGAGCTTCAGTTTCCTTATCTATAAAATGAGAATGGGTGTTTTAGTGCTACTTTATAGGAGGACTACATAGATTATGTGAAGTAATTTCTATAGCTGTATTATGAAAACTGTAACTATAAACATATAGAATATTATTTCAGGATTTAATGAAAAGACTGATTTGCTCTCTTTATACCTTAAAAAGTATATATAAATTTCAATCCTATCTCTTCTATCATCTTTCTAAATTGAAAAACCTTTCTTTCTTTGGTACACTTGTCTTCATGATATTTTTGGCAGTTCTTTCCTTGTACCATCTCCAACGATGATTGGGTACCCCTTCCACAACCACTGCATCAAGGCATACTTCTTTCTGCTCATACTTTAAGACTCAATTAAAACAGCATGTCATTTATGACAACTTCCCACTCGTATTTATTCCCTCTCTTCTGATATCCTCTCAACTCTATTTATCTCATCCTACTGTAACTACTTCCACACATTCACTAACTTTGCCTGACTGAAACTCCTCCATTAACTATTTGGTTCATCTCAGTATTTCCAATGTTGAGTGTAGAGCCTGGTGCAGAGTAAGTGCACAGTAAATACCTGTTGACTGAATGAAAGGATAGACAACTCAGGGAAGGACGGCTTTGGTCACTGATCTTCAGTGCTGAGAGTGTCATCCCTGTGAAGATACAGAATACGTGAAGCCCAGTAATTGTGCTCGTATTTATCAAACTCCCACTGTCCATTTGCTGATGTGGAAGCAGTTCAGAAGCCACCATCCTTTAATGTTGGATTAATGTCACTAAACATCTTACCTTAAATATCCCTGGGAAACTCTGGGAAGACTTTATGTAGTGACAGGTTTTAAAGCATCAATGTAAGTTTTCCATAAGTGGGAAAGGAACTCAGAAAAAGGTAAATTCTCTTGAAGTCTTTCCACAGTCCAAATTTTGACTTAGTGTGCAAGTGCTTTCTTCTCCTACCCCCCTCTTTCTACTCTCACCTGTGACACACCAGTCATACTGAATGACCTTTAGTTCTCCATGTTTTTCTTTCCTCTGAGCCTTGTACATGCTATTCCCTCTACTTAGAATGCTTTGTTCCACTGATTTCCTGTTACCTGGCTAATTCTTGTGTGTCGTGTAGGTCTCAGCTTACATGTTACCTCCTCTGGGATGCCTTCAGTGACCACTTGTCCCGACTCCCCAAGTCTGAATTAGGTGCTCTTTCTCTATGTTCTCACAACACCCTGAACTAACTTCCTTTAGCACTGATAAAAGTATTGAAATTTCTTTTTAGTCTTCTATATTTTTCACTAGACTTAGCATTGAATCTTCTATTATTCCGAGGGCCCTGAATGATGCTTGGCACAGAATAAACCTCAGTAAACATTTTCTCAATAAATTAATGGATGAATGAATGAATCCCACAAGAAACCCAACTGCAAAGAAAGCTTAAAATAACAGGTAGCTGGTATAATTTCTCTTTCCATATCTAGCATTCTCCTGGTGTGCAGCCTGCAGATGTGGAGGAAGTTGTTAAGAAGGGTGTGCAGACTCTTGTGATTGGCCGAGGGATGAGTGAGGCCTTGAAGGTAGGTATTGGTGAGCACAGCATTCCTGAGGACAGCTGGTGACCTCTTGGACCATTACCTTAGAAATATGTCCTTCTTGGGGCACCTGGGTGGCTCAGTTGGTTAAGCGTCCCACTTCGGCTCAGGTGATGATCTCACCGTTTGTGGGTTCAAGCCCTGCGTCTGGTTCTGTGCTGACAACTCAGAGCCTGGAGCCTTCTTCTGATTCTGTGTCTCCCTCTCTGCCCCTGCCCTGCTTATGCACTCTCTTTCAAAAATATAATAAAGGTTAAAAAAAAAAAAGTCCTTCTTGGGAGGTCATCTCAATATATCATGCACCCTCATTTTGCTGAGTCAGGAGTGGCCTAGGATAAAATAATGGATGTTAGTACTCTTCCTCATCAGGGTTGGACTCTCCAGTCTCAACCTAAGCCTAGGCCTGTGTTGTTTCAACTATTTTTCAGAAATTCTTCACTCCTGGAATTCTCAAGCTCGATAGCTATCAATATTCAGTTCTTTAGATTTCATAGTACTTCACTTTTTTATTACATGACATTTTTATAATACTTTCTATTCTTTCCTTGAACACAATCAAGTTATGCCTTTTTTCCCTTTCAGAAAAAAAAATTTATTTTTATTGTACTTAAAGAAATAATACATGCTTATAGCAAAACAGGAGATGCAGAAATGTTGAAGTAGAAAAGTGAGAGCTCCCCACCCCGGTTTGTACATGTAATGTATACTGCTCCAGGTTCCTATGTAACTGCAAATACATACTCTTACACATACAGATATACACGTACACACTTATAATCATTTTTTACATCAACAGGATCACATTGTACATATTGTTCTGTAACTTCCTACTGATGTTGTTACATTGTGGACAGCCTTTCACAGAAGTATATAGAGATCTACCTCATTCTTTCCTTTAGACAGATGTCCTAAAATACAGTTCCCTACTGATAAAGCTGCGATTCATTTATATTTTTTGTTTAACCTAGTTTTTTTCCCATTAAAATAATTCCTTTCTACAGGCTACTGTTATTATAAAGTTATTCAAACATATAAAAAATATAGGGTGTTTAAAAAATATTTCAGAACTCTTTCTGAGGCAGAGTCTAAATAAAATCTCCTTAAAATACTCAGCACAAGCCAGTTAAGAAAATATCCAATAATAGCTGCCACTATTGAGAATCTTTTATATAAATTAATTTACATTTATTCAGTGCCTTCTATGGGTCAGACACTATTCTAGGCACTGGAGACAACACGAAAAATGAGACAAACAAGGTTCATGGCCCTCTTGGAAATTAAAACAGTAGATAATTTCACATCGTAACAAATGTTGTGAAGAAAATAGTGACTTCTGAGGGGCTGCTCTAAATGCAGGAGTCAGGAAAGGCCTTTCTGAGGAGACATTTGAGCTGCCGTGTACATACAGTAGTTAACTTCATGCTCACACCACCCTGTGATGTTAGAGTTATTCCCATTTTATAGCAGAAGAAACTGGGGTTGAAAAACTTTAAACAGCTCGCCTACAGCCACTTGGTGGGTACATGGCAAAGTTAGACTTTAGACTCTGGTTGGACTAACTCAAACATTCAACATTTACATGCTAGACATTTTACATACCTTAGCTGAATTAATTTTCATACCAGCCCTGTGAACTAGGTATTATTATCCCTATTTACAGACATGGAAACCAAGGGTCAGAGAACTGAATTCACTTACCCAAGGTCACACTGCTAGTAACACTTAAATCCAAGCCTGTCTGACTCCAGAATCCATACTGTTTCCATTTCCACTTCACCGGAGCTTTGTACATGCAGGATACTTTCAATTAACTTCTTAGAAGCCTTACTGACTCCTTGGGGCTCACTGCCAAATTTTCGACTGGTAAATGCTGGGTGACAGTTGTCATTGTCCAATTCTGTAGAGAGCACTTGCCTCATGGCAGGAAAGGAAACCCTGGAGAGCCTTTCCCTGGACTCACTCATCTCTTTCCCTCTTCCCAGGTGCCTCCGTCAACTGTGGAGTACCTCGAGAAACAAGGCATTGATGTGCGGGTGCTCCAGACAGAGCAGGCAGTGAAGGAGTATAATGCCTTGGCTGCCCGAGGAATCAGGGTGGGAGGGGTCTTCCATTCCACGTGCTGATGGAGCCTTAAGGAGAATAAATCACTAAGCCACAATGCCTCTGACTATCACTCTTACCACTCTCACCAACCTCCCCAAGCATTTTTCAACAGCTGCTCATGCCCAGTGCTGGGCTAGGGTTTGGGATGCATGGATGACTAAGGCAAGGTCCCATTCTGGGGGGAACTGAAAAGGGAGAAGACAGATATTTACCAAAGTTTAATAATACAGTAAATGTTAGGCCAGAAATACGAGAAAATAAAGGCAAAAAATAAAGCCTTCTGCTTTGAAGGCCAAAGAAAAGTTTCAGTGCATTAAAATTACATTGCGATTGATGCTTTGGAATGTTTAACCATTAATTCAACCAATTTTTACTGAGTACTTTATATGCCAGGCACTGCTAGAGGCTCCAGAGAAACAGCAATAAAAGTCTTATCCTCACAAAGCTTACATTCTAGTGGGGAAAATAAAAAATAAATTCCATAATGAAAGCAGAACCTGTTATGAAGAAAAAGCAGGATAAGAAGATGAAGAGTAGTGAAGGCTATTTCAGATACGTGGTCAGGAAGTCTCTTTGTGCAGATGACGTAGGAGCAGAACCCTGAATGAAGTGGCAGAACATTTCTGTAATAGTAACAGTAAAAGGAGCAACGTCCTGATACTAGGGATCTAGGTCATCTGTCTTACTAGCTAAACCTCACCTTCCCTTGCTACGAAATGATGGGGCTGGACTAGACCACCGTGGATAGTCTTTGTTCTGTTAAATGCCACATGTCCTTTGTGAAGCCTTAGAAGAGACTGATGAACTATAAAATTATCACCATCTCATTAGTTTTCATTCCTCCTCCTCTTTAAAGAGTTAGGAGTATGGGCTTTGGTGTCAAATAGCCTTGACTTTGAACTGTGGCTTCCTGCCACTCATTGGTTGGGCATTTATTTAATCTCTTAAAAGTTTCACTGTTCTCATCTGTCAGATAGGGATAATAATTAGTACCTGGAGTGATTTTTGTAGGTATTAAATAGGGTGATTCATACCATGTCTTAGCATACTGCTTGGCATGTAGTAAGGACTCAATAAATTGAAGCCATTGTTGTCATTGTATTTTGATTAATAGGTGTGCTGTGTAAAGTCAATGTTTCTTTTTATGGTTCATAACATAGCAGCTTATTTCATAGATCTGTAGAATGTTGAAGTCCAAAGGAACTATCTACTCTTATTTATTCATTCTCTTTCATGCCCATTTACTAAGAGGCTCTTACTGAGACTGATTTTCATATGACCAGTTATTGCTGGGCGCTGGGGGTAGAGAAATGAATAAATTCTAATTCTTGCCCTCAGGAGTTCTGTGGGAGAGACAAATCTACAGATAATGATGATACAGGCATTAATGTTATAATAGTTACAAGGTCTAACGGTGACCTAAAGGATGGCCTAATCATACCAGAATGGAAGGGAAAGTAAGGAAGACATCACTAAGAACAGGACACAAGCTGAGTCTTAAAGAACAGGTGTTCATCTATTCGCCAAACATTTCGCAAATTTTAAACATTTACTAGGTCAAGTGTCTATCACAGCCACAATAAAATACAATTGTCCACCTCAGCCCTTGTTGAAGCCAAGACCCCAGAAAGCTGGGTTTTGCTCCATGTGAGCCTGTCACCTGCTTGGCCCAGTTGGATATCTGACTGGGCAGCCAATCCACAGACCAAACAGCAACTTAAGATGTGGCTTGGCAAGAAAAGGGGAGCTAAGACTACCAGAATGGAAAGTGAAGGAACCTCTCCAAGTTTGCCCAGCAAGGAAGTGGCAGTGTTCTCACCGTGTATCTGCACACAGAGTAGTTGGAAGAAACACGTTAAATACAGAGTGATGGTATCAATGTTGCAAACTGGCACAAAGCTACCTAGACACCTATTTTGTCTCCGAGTCATCAGATTAGAACCCAACGCTGTGTCTTGATCTCTGCTACACACCACCTTAAAAGGTCCATGGGAGTGGGATGCCTCACTGGCTCAGTCGGTAGAGCAGGCAACTCTTGACCTCGGTCGTGAGTTGAAGCCCCACACTGGATTAGAGCTTACTTAAAGGGGGGGGGGGGGGGGCATGAGAGTGAGATCCTCACAGACCTGACTTAGCCTGGAGGTCTGAGGAAGTCCTGCTCAGTATCCTTCCTGCCACCAGCAATTTGACAGATACAGGATCTTTCTAGGTCTCAGTTCACTCAGCTCAAAAAAGCCAGGCACCTATACGGCTAGAGGGTGTTTGATAAAATTCAGACTGTTTCTCTATTGATGCAATCAACTTTTTTAAGTGGAATGTAAAGTGAGACATCTCTAGTGGGTGTTGCATTAGGTGTGGGTGTAATCAGTGTTCCTGGGTTGTCTCCACATTATAGAGAACTTAGTACAATCTTCTTGGAGACAGAAGTATCTGGCAGTGACATTATTAAACTTTGTATAGAACCTGGTAATAAACAGCTCCAATTTCTGAATCTGTTCTCCATGGTCATTGCTGGAAATGTGCAGAACCTGGAGAAAAGCTATTTTTCCACGTGACACTATACTTGGTCCCATGTCTTAATCATTAAGCCCTTTGATTTGATTTGTAGGCAGCACAGCCCTCCCTCTGCCCACACTTAATTTCTTCTAGCTTGAGTGGTTCCTAAGACGAGAAGTCTGCCAAGTGCTTTCTGGGTACCCTATAATTCTGTTTGCAGAAGTCAATCGTGTCAAAGCCAAATATAAAGTCCTTTCGGAAACACGAATCCCAGGGCTGGCTTTTGCAGGCATGCCATGGTACTGCTAAGTTTGCTCTGGAATCATATTCATTCTTCCCCTGCCTGGTATGTGCCAGTAGCTGTGCCGGGGATACAACAGATGTTCTCACTATGCGTCTACGCACAGAGTAGTTGGAAGAAACAGACATTAAATACAGAGTGATGGTACCAATGTTGCAAACTGGCACAAATCTACCTAGACACCTATTTTGTCTGAGTCATTTTAACATTAATTTTTAATGGCTTTTTTTTTTTTACATGAAAATGCAGATTTCTGGCTTTTCTGGAAGAACTGGAAGATCTTATATCCCCAGGCCCACACTTACAAACCACTGAGTAGAACTGAATGACAACTGTCTTCTGACAGAAGCTATGCTCTGACTGAAGAGAACTGAAGTCTATTATCTTCCTCCAGGTTGCAGGACTCCTTTTCCCCTGCCTACCTTCTTTAGAGGTTTCCATTTGTGAACCTGAAATAAATACTTAAGTAAATATCCTTAAAGAACATATAGAAGGCTGTCGGAACACAGAGGCCACGCGCCAAGCCCACAGGAGACACAAGACAGGCTCCAGAATGAGGCTCAGTTCTGGAGAATGAGAAGGAACCAAAGGAGACAATTTGAGGATATATTCTGGGGCTCAGCAGGTCCAAAGGTCTGAGACAAAACAGCATGATGAATGTTGGCAAGAACTACAGACCTTCTCTATAGCCAGAGAAGTACAAGAATGTGTTGCAAAGGCAGTATGAGGCTGGAGAGCAGGGGAGGGGCATGAAGAGCCTTCGGGGACAGAACTTTAGACTTTATCCTGGGACAGAAGTGGGCCACTTGAGAGGGACTTAAGCAGGGGAAGGGCATGAGCAGATCTGGGTTTTAGAAAGATCACTCTGGTAGCTGTGTGAAGACTGAACTGAAGAGGCAAGGTCTGAGGCAAAATCTTTAGGAAGCTAATGCCCCATTTTAGGGGAGATGATAGTGGCCTGCACTAGGACAGAAACTGAGTATGAGAAGGGAATTGAGTCAAGAAACATCTAAGCAGAATTTAAAGGACTTGATGGCTATGTTTACATGAGGGGTGAGGAGGAAGTCCAATGTGACACCTAGGTTTCTAGCTTTGCCTGCTGGGTGCAAGGGAGACTGCTTACAAAGCACAATAGACCCATTATGGAAACCATATTCACTAAGAATCAGGAGGCCTGGGTTCCAGCCGTGGCTTCACCATGGATTCTCTCTGGGCTTGTACATTCACTTCTAAAATGAAGGTGCAACACCAGAGTGATCTTTATACCCCCTTCAGGTCTTTATAATATAAGGTCATTTTTTTCACTTCATTCAAAGTGTGGAAACAGATGCAGAAAAATCAAGATTCTCATATTCCACAGAACCTGATAATTCAGGGTAAAAGGAATTTAAAAGGTTGGACCCAATCTCTCATATGATACTTGAATTCCTTTGCAATAAACTTGTTAGGAGCTTGTTCAACCTCTGCTTGAACACATCCAATATGGACATTTTCTTATCTCCTAATGTATTCCATTTAATTCTCACCTACCTTTAAAACTTATCTTAATACTAAACCATAATCTGCCCCTTAGTGTATCTCCACCTTTGGTGCAAAACATACTATATTCTGGGTATTAAGACCTAGGATAAAGTCCTAGCTTTGTCCCTTAGGAGAAAAACATAATCTCAAAACCTCAGTTTCTACACCTGTAAAATGGGAGATAACCTGAAAGGATTTTTATAGCAGGGGTACTAGATCTGAAAAGGATGCAGCACAGCCTTCTCCCAGGAGGCTTTCTAAAGCTATAGCATGAGGGGCTCAGTTGGCAGCCATGGGTTTCATTGTTTTCATCTACACTCCAACCTAGCAATCATCATTAGATGCCTGGGTAAGGACTGTGCTATGATTCGGCCTAGCTCCCAGCTTCATTTTGTCACCAGGGACAGCACTTTTGCCAGTGTATCTTGTTGACACAGAAGAGCCCACTGATGGCACATCCTTGAGATATACAAAACAAGCAAGTACACTAGAAAAGGCAGCGCTGTGAAGATCTTTCTTCCCTTATTCCCACTCTAACAGGTAAGACGTTCTGGAGCCAGACTACCTGGGTTCAAACACCAGCTCTATCATTTATTAGTTGTGTGACTGAGGCCAAGTTACTCAATTCTCTGAACTCCAACTCCCTTGCTTGTAAAACAAAGATGATAGTATAACTATTCAGAGGGTGGTCGTGAGGATTACAGGAGTTAATTCGTGCAAAAGGTTTACAACA